CAGCCTGATATCTTCTGCAGGCTGTTCCATAGTAGGGGACTGTGCATCCTCATAACTGTTCTGTTCTGACTGTTAGAACAGGTTTAGAAGACCACAGAGACCTGTTTGTAACAAACCTCACTAGCTTATTAGATATGGGTTGAGCTGCAAACACATTAAGGAATCTGAACACCAACAAACTGAAATCAATTTTAGCATTTAGTAGTGTTCAATCAAGGGACTTCAAGGCATGTGTAATGCGATAAAGCTGGAACATTCTGGTCCCTTTCTGTGGAAGGCCAGATGATACAAGCACTGCAAAATCCAGCGTGTAGAGCGACTGAAACAATGACAAGATGTAATGTATTCTAAGGGGAGGAAGAGCTAAATAAATGCTTTATGGGATTTACTGGAAATTTCACGCTTTGCGACGTCCACCGCTTCTGCTGCTGCTTTCTGTTCATCCCTTTTGTTCACATGCAGATTTTATGCACGAAATAATGTTAATAAGAGAAGGAGGGAGCGAGGTTTCAGAACTTTCTCTCTTTCACTCTGTCCCTTTCGTTCCCTCTCTTCTAATTGCAATGCATACATATTAAGCAATCCATATTTTCACTCTCTCTCTCTCTCGCTCTCTTTTTATCTCTTTTTCACCTAATTGCATGCACACATTAACATATATTTCCATTCGGGCTAAAAGCAGTGGCTTTGTCTGCTGCCGAATATCAAGAGAATGTTCCGGCATGTTTAGGACTGATGGAGACATGGGACATTTATGAACAGAAAATGACATTTTGTTCATACTGGAAACAGAATGTAAATGGGGAACTGATGTTACAAACTGTGTGTGTGTGAGAGAGAGAGAGTGTTTTGGCATTATTTATTGACATGGAACAAAGGCAACCTTAAGAAATCCAGCATATTCTCTGCCATCTCACGATCAGGGATTAGCCAAGTCTGCATGGGCAGGCATGCATACACACACACACACACACACACACACACAGACAGACACAGACACAGACACACACACACACACACACACACACGTGCGTGCACACACACTCTCTATCTTTGTCACACACTCACAAAAATGCAATCACTTAAACTCCAAGTAAGGCAAATACGTCTTTTCATGCAAACACACATTAAATTAATTAACTCTAGCAATTAGTCATCCCCATTTAAGGTATGACATTACAGAGAGCGAAAGAGAGAGAGCCATCGACTGTGGAAGCAGAAGTCAACTCGCAGACACTCGGTCGCCATGGAAACCACTGATGCACCCGACAGGGGGTCACACATGATCAGGTCAGCCCAGAGCCCCCTTATCGACTTGTGCGGTTTACAGATTTCACGTTGTTTCTCGGTCTCACATCCGTGAGACGGGGGGCCGCAATGTTTTTATAGGAAAGAAATGACATTGTCCTCTAAAAGCTGACAAGCCTTTGATTTTCTGACTCCCATTCTTTGTGGTCTCTCCTGATGAAATGTCCTGTGGTGTGATGTGGCACTCTGATCTAGGACCAACTGTTCAGCCTAAACATTATCAGAGAAAGCACATGGCCGCTCTTAGACGGGCAGCCAGTGAACGCACTGCTGAATTGTGGGCAGAAAGAGAACCGTGCCGTTTCTATTATTGAGGCTGAGGTATTGAACAGGCTAGAAAAGACCACACACACTATACACAAATTTTTGCTGAAGATAGAGGAAAGAATGAAAGAGAAAGGAAAAAAGAAAACCGTAAGAGGGACCCACCCATGTTTGCAGTGGGAATGAAAAGTGCCATTTGTGAAAACAGTGTTATTTTGGTCTCTCTAGTCCCCTCTTACAAGATTGTTTAGTTTATTTTTTCATTTTGTGTCGCAAAGATATTTTTGTTTAATCATTCTGGATGTAATTCTTCTTTAAAAAGTATTTAAATATGCGTATGTCTTGCATGAGAATCAACATTTATTTCCAGTGTAGGTTGCGCGATATACAGATATCCATATTTTTTTAACACTGCAGTAAGCTATTTCCTGTAAATGTTTGAAACTTCCAATTCATTAACCAGTAAATAACTAGAACAATAACAAAATGCAGTTAACAGTAAAACACAACAAACCAGTGTGTTTATGATTACGATAAATACCAGTTTGGACTATCATGGAACATAATGGCCTGTTTTTAGGGATGCACCGAATTTTCAGCCAAAAATGGCATTATCGTTTTTTACCGAAAATATATGAAACGGTAACGTACAAGTGACAAGTCACACTTCAATCAGGACCACTTTCGTCAAGTATATTTATTACAATTATATTGCATACAGTTAGTGTTGGCGGTATGGTTATGTTCTGGGCAACACTCCACACGCCTGTCCATGCAGCCATGCTTGGACAGAGCGGGGAGAGCAGCAAGACAAACCCCCCCCCCGGGGTACAGAACAGAACCATTATATGCATACATAATTACAATTCACAATTACATGAGTTGTAAACAATATGTGATAGAGAATGCTTCCAATGAAGTGACTGTAAGGAAGAACAAAAGTCAGATCGAATTACAGGTTCAGTTAGGTGGAGTTGGGGTTGGAGGAGGGAGTTAATTGCAAGCAGTGATGCGATGGAAGAGACGCTGAAGAATGGGAATTTAAATAGACCGCTTGTGATAGGTGTCAAGACTGGATTGGTACACGTCAAGAACAGCTGACTGTCGGCTGATGCGAGCTTGACTGACGTGGCCTGCCTGAACTAACGCTATGCTGAATACTGCCTCAATTTCTAATGTGTTTGATGAGATTCTACAGGTAAGAAGTGTATGGAGAATAATATATTTAAGTTTGTTCTAATATATTTTGTCCAATTTGATGCGATACTTTCAATAAAAATTCGAAGTGTGATTATTTTATTGGTTTATAATAAGGGTGTCGCGTTATACCGGTATTGACAATAATCGTGATATTCAAATAATGAAATATCAATATCATGTTAATTAGGAGTGTCGCAATATACTGGTATTGGCGATATTTAAAAATGAATAGTACACATACGAAAATATGATACAAACAATCTAGCGCCAATACCATTATGAAGCGTTAAACTCTCACATGTGATTTGTTTCATTCATACTAGACACCAGAGGGCAACCTCGTGCAGAAAGTCCACAAGCGAGACTCATAAAAGTAATAAAACAAATTCCAGGAAATACCTTATATGGACAAAGGCATCCAGCTGTCACTGTAGCTGAATAAAGTGCATGAGCTACGAGCTACGGTGACAGTTTTGCATGATGAGAATATGTACACGACTACAACAGTATATGGTTTATCTGCATTCTTCAAGCCATCTCAGGTATTTTCATATGGATAATGTATATTTATATTGCAATGTTAATTGACATTTATCACTGTATAGAATACTATAAAATAAGAATCTGTTCACAGAAGGAAGTTATTTCAAACACTTGAATGATGCTATAAAGTAAGTTTGGAGTAATGAGTTATTCTCATAAGTTATCTTACTTCGACTGTGCTAAACTAACAACGGTTAGCATTTTAGTCTCTTCTGTTTAGTGTAATTGTTCCTTTTGTACGCAATGGTGTGATTTATTGGTAAAATAAATAAATAAATAAAGATTAATTTGACTGATAGCATGATTTTTTTAATTTTTCAAGATTTCTCTAGATATCAAAATGTATCGTTAACGTGAATTTTTGAGCCCACGATAAACGTTTTGTGAAAAAACTGAAATCGTGACAGCCCTAGTTTGTAGTTTTTCCGCTCAAATTCAAGAAATTTAAAGAAATTAAAAAGTCTAATACTAATACAATCATTTATACAAAGGTATTTTCATATGGATAATGTATATTTATATTGCAATGTTAATTGACATTTATCACTGTATAGAATACTATAAAATAAGAATCTGTTCACAGAAGGAAGTTATTTCAAACACTTGAATGATGCTATAAAGTAAGTTTGGAGTAATGAGTTATTCTCATAAGTTATCTTACTTCGACTGTGCTAAACTAACAACGGTTAGCATTTTAGTCTCTTCTGTTTAGTGTAATTGTTCCTTTTGTACGCAATGGTGTGATTTATTGGTAAAATAAATAAATAAATAAAGATTAATTTGACTGATAGCATGATTTTTTTAATTTTTCAAGATTTCTCTAGATATCAAAATGTATCGTTAACGTGAATTTTTGAGCCCACGATAAACGTTTTGTGAAAAAACTGAAATCTAGTTTGTCAGCCCTAGTTTGTAGTTTTTCCGTTCAAATTCAAGAAATTTAAAGAAATTAAAAAGTCTAATACTAATACAATCATTTATACAAAGTATTTTAAAATATTTTAAAATACGTTATTTTCGGTTTCGGTTTTCAACCAAGTGCATCCTGAATATTTGGTTTCTATTTCAGCCCAGAATTTAAATTTTAATGCATCTGTTTTTGTATAACCAAAATAGCTGGAAACCACTCACAATGAAAGCCTCCGACATTCAAGGTAATATGCCCACTTTTACATTAAAAATAACATGAATATGGTAAAAATTACAAGGGTGCGATATAAATCCGTAAATTTCGGTACCTGTTATACAACACAATTCTCCAGTTCACACAGTGTGATGTGAAGCATGGAAAATGTTGACAAAAGATTAATTTGTCAACACAAGGCCACTGAAGAGATGTTTTTCATTTAATGAGATATTTATTATTAATCCACGTAAATGTCAGTGTTGAAAATGCCCTTTTTTCCTCAGCGGATCACATACTTAACTGCAGCGTCGCAAGCACAGGCGCTCGGCGTGCGCTCGGGGACTCTGCGTCTGACAGCCACAGCTCGTTTTGCCTACAAAGGGCTACAGAGAACAAGCTCTGAACTTTAATAAGACTAAATGAGCTTACAAATGCAGAGATAAAGAGCCGTTTATCCCTGCTGTGTAGAAATCTGATGGTCTAAATGCATTCGTCACTGTATACAAGTCAGCGGATCACATACTTAACTGCAGCGTCGCAAGCACAGGCGCTCGGCGTGCGCTCGGGGACTCTGCGTCTGACAGCCACAGCTCGTTTTGCCTACAAAGGGCTACAGAGAACAAGCTCTGAACTTTAATAAGACTAAATGAGCTTACAAACGCAGAGATAAAGAGCCGTTTATCCCTGCTGTGTAGAAATCTGATGGTCTAAATGCATTTCGTCACTGTATACAAGACAGAATATGATGAAGACAAAATTAAGTTAAATATATTAATGGAGTTTGAATGGTTCATAAATCAGAATTAGGACTACACTACATAATTACAAAGTCTTCAAAGCTATTTGACAAATCCAACCAAGCATTTTGTAACAGAACAAGCTATATAAGGATTACGTAACTCGTATGCATCAGGTGTAGATAATAATAATATTTTTTTATTATTACCATTGTTGTTGTTTTTTATAAGAACACATTATGTTATATACTTTATTATTTTTGTTTAAATGATTATTGAATTAATATACTTAACATTATTTTTAAATATAATAATAGTAATTGATATTATTGTTACTGTTGTTTTATATAGAGAAGGCCAGGGCTATGTTTCATTTTTATATATACGCATGAACAATAACTTTGTTATTTTGTCCTGTTTTTTTGTTTAAGGCAGGGGTTTTCTAACTAAGGTATGGGATCCCAAAGGGACTGCAAAGGAGTGCTAAGAAGCCCATAGAAAAATGTAGAGGAAAAATTATGTACAAATCTAATTATAATAATAATTTTAAATGTAAGAACTAGTCAGAAACCATGAAACTAATTGATTTTATATAGAGAAGGCCAGGGCTATGTTTCATTTTTATATATACGCATGAACAATAACTTTGTTATTTTGTCCTGTTTTTTTGTTTAAGGCAGGGGTTTTCTAACTAAGGTATGGGATCCCAAAGGGACTGCAAAGGAGTGCTAAGAAGCCCATAGAAAAATGTAGATTATAAATCTAATTATAATAATAATTTTAAATTTAAGAACTAGTCAGAAACCATGAAACTAATTGATTCTATTCACAACATTAATAGAATTAATACTTTCCAAATACATGAACATATATTTAATTTATCACAATTTAAATTGTCTTTATACATGAAATATAGCTGTCTTTTATATTTTATGAAGGGGTCCCAAGGGGGATCATAATATTTAGGGGACCATGGCATTAAAAAGTTTGACAAACTCTTTGGGCATTGATTTAGTATTGATAGCTAGGTGCCAGAGGCTTATATCTTTCTAAAGCCAAAATTTTGGTATTGATTCAATCCTATTCCAGTGTAAATACAAGTGTAGCTAGACTTTTGCCTCCGGCAAAACTTTTCCTCACTGCAGCTTTGTCTGACCAAGAACTGCCCAATTAGTAAGCAGGAGATCATTTGACTAACATTAAAAATCAATCCATCAATCACAGGTTTTTTTTACATGTTGTTTAGACAAGTTTATCTGAAATGAATTATTCCACTTGCAGTTTTTGCATGCAATATGCAACAAGCAGTCATTGAACAGACAGTGGATGATCCATGGCCATGCTGTCTTGAGGCTAGTGTAAACCTAACTTTTATGCTATATTTGTTATTTAAATTCTTTTGCAGTGCAAATATGATTCAGAATAAGCAAATCTTACCAGAATTTCACTGGTTCGCCTTTTATGGCCTTATCTTGTCTTGAGATGCTGGTCTTCTCGGTTTCCTTCTTGCTTTCTATCTGTGGGGCCGCTGATTTATTAATCCATGCAGGAACAGACAAGCCTACAAAGAATATGTCGACCAAATGATTCTAAAGAAACGGTGGACAGAAGTGATTAACAGCAAACGATTCCTAGCAGATGCTTCATAGAAGGTGAATTAAAGGGTTAGTTCACCCCAAAATGATAATTTTGTAATTAATTACTCACCCTCATGTCGTTCAAAACCCGTAAGACCTTCGTTCATCTTCGGAACACAAATTAAGATATTTTTGATGGAATCTGAGAGCTCTTTGTCCCTCCCATAGACAGCAATGCAACTGAAATGTTCCCAGACAGAAACGTAGCAAGGACATCGGTAAAACAGTCCATGTGACATCAGTGGCTCAACTTCAGTTTTGCGAAGCTACGAGAATACTTTTTGTGCGCTAAGAAAACAAAAATAATTTATTTAACAATTCTTCTCCCCCGAGTTGCGTCTTTGTTTACGTTAGAGGGGAAAGTGCGCGCATGAACGTAATCGGCGTAATCAGCGTTGTTTACACTTAGGGTAAAGCGTGCGTATGCGTTGTGATACTCTCCAAAATGGCGGAAGACAGTAACTCGGGGGAGAAGAATTTTTAAATAAATTATTTTTGTTTTCTTAGCGCACAAAAAGTATTCTCGTAGCTTCGCAAAACTGAAGTTGAGCCACTGATGTCACATGGACTGTTTTACTGATGTCCTTGCTACGTTTCAGTCTGGGAACATTTCAGTTGTGTTGCTGTCTATGGAGAGACAGAAAGCTCTCAGATTCCATCAAAAATATCTTAATTTGTGTTCCGAAGATGAACGGAGGTCTTACGGGTTTGGAACGACATGAGGGGGAGTAATTAATGACAGAATTTTCATTTTGGGGTGAACTAACCCTTTAAAGAAAGTGATTCATTACAAGCGTCATTCAAACTACTGTAAACACTATCATTCACAGGACGTAAGTTGCATCCATGGCAACAAACTCCGAAATCTATGTTTGGTCCTTTCGTTCTACTCGGAGAGACGCGGTGTCCCTGTGGCACCCCCCGTGTCTCATTTGTACAGCTGGATAAACAAATTACTCCAAGCCAATTAGCACAAGCTGTTAACACTAGTGTTTCAAGGTCCTTTAATATTAAGTGTATCGCAGTTAAAAATTATTTTAATAAATGCTAAAAATGCAACATCAGCGGCTGAATTTTTTTTTTCTTTTTTACAGACAAAAAAAAAAAACTGTCAGTGCATAATGATTATTTATTTGGGAAAAGGCTGGGTGGGGTGCAGGATCCTGAACAACTCTCCCTAGTGGCTGTAAGCATGAATGCAGATGGTCTGTCATTTAAAAATTATACTCTTGTGGTATTTGGTGCAAAGACATAATTACTACTAAGGGTGTAGACATGATTATGAACTGGACGAGGGAATATGTCCCCTCATATATGTTTGTCCATATGAGTTTTACCTTAGTCAGAAGAGTGCCATATTTAATTTATGACAGTAATGAAATTGAGGCTTTGAGGGATAGAAGTACAGTGCGTTCAATGGATTGTACTGTCGTTTAACAGCATGCCGAATATTCAGCTGACCAGAGACTTTCAGTAGACAAAAAAAGTTTTGAAAGTTGTGAATTCAAAAAATTACATGATCTAGGACCTTTATACACTCTTAAAAATAAAGGTGCTTCAAAAGGTTCTTCAAGCGATGCCATAGAAGAACCATTTTTGGTTCCACAAAGAACTATTCAGTCAAAGGTTCTTTAAAGAACCATCTCTTTCTTACCTTTTTATAATCTGAAGAACCTTTTTTCGCCACAGAGAACCTTTTGTCAAACAGGGAGGTTCTTCAGATGTTAAAGGTTCTTTATGGAACCATTTAGACAAAAAGGTTCTTCTATGGCATCGTGAAGCACCTTTATTTTTAAGTGTACAGTGTGTTCGGTTCTTCTATGGCATCGTGAAGCACCTTTATTTTTAAGAGTGTACAGTGTGTTTCAGTGTAAAGACTGTAAATCTACCCCCTCACAGCCTCGTTTTCATCTGTTAACTTTAATACAGCGTCTAACCTTTAAAGGAATAAATCACCCCACCCCCCCAAAAAATCTGAATCAGATATTAACTTGTTCATGCTGCTCTTTGCCATTAAATATATTTATATATTTATCATTTACTTAAACAAACCTCACACGTTATTTAGCAGCCATTACTCTAGTCTTCATTGTCACATTTAATATACTGATTTGCTGCTCAAAAAACATTTCTTATTATTATCAATGTTTAAAACTTGCTGTTTAATATTTTTGTGGAAACTGTGATAGAATTGTCAGGATTCTTTGCTCAATATAAAGTTAAAAAGTACAGCATTTATTTGAAGTAGAAATATTTTGTAGTATTACAGATGTTTTACTGTCACATCTTTCTTATATACTCATATACTTATGCTCAGCAAGGATGCATTAAAATTATCAAAAGTGACAGTAAATCAATATACTATTATATATCAATTATATACGCCTTTTTTGACATCTCTGATGTTGATGTTAAACTTGTAGTTAACACCAAGCTATTATTTGACTTCAGAAAAGCTTGAATATAATGATTATATAAAATTGTCTACTTCTATAGTGCTTTTGTCATTATTTGATCCACAGTTTACAAATATTTGGGGGGGGGGATCCATTTGTGTCCAACGCCAAACTGAAAATGACAAGTAAATGAAAATGTAATGAGTACATGACGACAGACTTTTCACTGGAATGTTTTAAATAAAACATTTTTTAGCTAATGCAGTACAAATGTAATACTGCAGTGACATTTAAAACACATAAGACTGGAGTGACGTTGCTATAGACCTTAATCGGGTTAGACACAATATTGAATTTAACAAGGATGAAAACGAGGCCGTGAGGATGGACTGTACCGTCTTTTCAATGTCACGCACCGTATAAAGATCCTAGATCGTGCTCACAACTTTCAAAACTGTTTTAAGGAGTTTTTGTCCACTTTCAGAAAGACCATTGGTCAGCTGAACATTCGGCATGTTGTTAAACGACAGTACAATCACAGTACGCACTGTACTTCTGTCCCTCACAGCCTCAATTTCATTCCAATCAAACATTATATGGACCTACCCTGACTTAAGTGAGTAATATTATTTCCTTAAGAGGTTAAGCATATTCGAACTTGTGCCTTTGTGATTGAGTCCAAGACACAAAAGAACCAATGACATAGCCTACTGTAAATAGCATCAGTGATGCCAATCAAAACATTCAATCTCACACAAATTATATTCATTTTCACAGTTGCAATGAGCTACAGTTTATTAGACAATGCCAAATTAACAGCAGTTAGTAAAGAGAGACAGCTCTGAACAGCACGAAGCTGTGAGGATACATTACCAGAGAAGCATTTTGTGGTAAACAGCCTGTTAAACTTCAGAGCATATTTCTTTTTGTAAGTCTCAAATCGGCTTTTGAAAATGAAGACATTACGTTCATACTCACAACTTTACCTGTTCCTGTCTCCAGTGAAACAGAAGAGTGAACACTGCAGTCTACCCCTTCTTTCTGGCTCTTTCTGAGCGGCATATTTTTTTATGTAGTGTGTTTGGTTGAGTGAGATAAGGCACAAAACACATTAACACCTGCATTCAAGACACACACACACTGATACACGCGCGCACACGGAGATGGATGATGGGGGAGATTGGATTTCTGGGCCAGTGAGCAGGAAGCGGAATGCAAGAGTGTGACTGCAGTTCTGTCACAGCAGGTCATTTGGGTACTAATGACTGTGTCTGTGTCTGTGTCTGTGTCTGTCTGTCTGGCAGGTCATTTGGGTACTAATGACTGTGTGCCTTGCATAAACCCTATAGGTGTGATTGAGACACACACCGGCTGCAAATTCAATTTGAACCCCCCCCCCATTTTTATTTAAAGGAGTGAAGAGGCGGTGATAGAGAAAGTGGCAGGGAGAAATGGAGAGACTTTGTTTAGTGCTGTTGAACCAAGGCTCTCACCTGATAACACAAGTTTCTTGTCTTGTCGTCTGCTGCGCGCTTAAATAAGATGTCATCAGTGCGGTATGGTAACGGATGTCAACGGAACCAATGATGTGCTCAGAGTGAGACCCGAGTCAGATACCGGCCAGCAGCTCGTCGCCGCTCGTTCAGGTGTTTCTTCGTGCCTTTAAGACAACCGGTTTCTGTATTCACGTTGTCCGAGTGTGTGACAGAAACTGTGAGGGCGTGTGGTACACACTAAACAGCCGACCAGAGAAAGAATGTACTGTGGCGCGGCAGGAAGTACAACAGCCCACCCATGTGGCGAGATCTGCGGTACTACAACCAGTGTCACCTCGCACCTTTTATTTATATATATATATATTTAATTATTAATATTCATAACAGGACAGTTTAGAACAGATAGGGGCGGGATCGGAAAAGGTCCTCGAGTGCAGAATATTTATAAGTAAATCAAGTTAGATTTATTAGCAAAATTTGTCTTTTTTTAGTTTTGGAGTCATTATTATTATTATTTTATGAAATAAGTACTGACACTGACAGGTCTTTTCTGACTTTTGCTTGTCAAAGGTCCGAATTTTGGGCAATTTTTTTATTCATCTTTCTTCTTTTTCATTATATACTAGTTTTTTTTTTAAACACTTAAAATATTATTGTGGTTTGCAGGTCACCGAGTCTGGTTTTGGCTACTTAGGTCACTCTAAATCATTTTCAGTGTAAAAGAGAAAGCTTTTACTGCTTGTTCTGTCATTCCATGCCTAGTTAGGACACAAGATTTTATTTATCTCCATTATGCAAAGTTTGTAAAGTCAAAGTGACAGTTTCTCGTCCACACTATAAGCATATAAGATATAAACATAAATAATATGTAAACAAAACCAACCGATTAAGTTTTTTAATAATACTGGACTTGTACATATAAAGATCAGGAAAGGTTCAAACAAGAGTGCAGACAAGAATGTGTAAAATAGCTTAACTGCAACATTAAAACAGCACATGAATGTATAAAAGAGCTTAAGAAGACTGGATGTGCAAAGCTACTGATCACATGGATTAAGGTGCAGATCACAGAGACCTTAAACATACAATAACAGAGTCTCGGGCAAAAAGATTTTCATTTATAAAACACACAAGATCAGAACAGGCTTTAGAGCCATTTAGCATGCATAAATAAATGATATGAACAAGGAACATTTTGAAAAAATGCTTAATAAAAACAAGCTTTAGCACAACGTTGTGTAGCTGCCAACATTTATGCAGCCCTTGGGACAAAATTCAATATATGGAAGTATTTTGGATGTCCCGAAAAAAGCTTTTGTTTTGCTAAAAATGTACGTTTATTTTAAGAAACTGGTGTTGAGTCACAGATATAACAAATAAAAACAGAACGTCAAAATGCTATAGAGAGGTGTCGGATTTATTGTAGTGCTTCGTAATGAGGAGCAGGGAGCAAAGAGCTGCGGGCACAGGAGTCAGGTACGAGATTTCTTCTCTTTCCTGTCAGACGACACTTCGGCTTTACGCTTGTGAGCCTGTGACAAGATGAAACAAAGCATGTTTTTAGGACAGTTAAGAGAGAGAGAGACAGACAGACAGACAGATGGATAGATAGATAGATAGATAGATAGATCTTGCTGACATTATAGGCAGTTAGAATGTGATGGAACGGTATTGAAGCAAGAGAGAAGAGGCAGAAAAAATAAAAAAAAATGCTCCTTGCTCCAGGCAAAATCTTACAACTCACAATGCACATGCTCTAATAGCTAGACAAGATACATAGACAGACAGACAGGTTTGAAATCGTCAGTGGGATATACTATACTATACTGCGGACAGTAAATCTGAGGGGAATTTTGATCATTTGCATGTTGTTCTTGTTCAGTTGTTCAAGCGTGATTCCGAACTAGAGAGAAAGTCTCTGGGGACGTGAAGCACGGAGCACAACAACAGATGGAGCGAAAAGAAAGAAGACAGGACGTATTACTGATTGTCCTTTGGGTGCTCTTCTCTTTTTCTCAGCGCGCTCTTTCTCCTCTATCTCCATGTTCTCTTTCTCAATGAGAGAAATGAGCGTGTTACAGCGGCGCTGCAGCTCCTAGCAAACCAGACAAAACACACGCAAGGAAACTCTTTCATCATCTCAGCACAAGAGTTATACATCACATCTCATCGACTTTTACAATTCCTTTCAGGCATCACACTAGCATCTGCACCCACACGCTTTCACAAACACGCACGCCAATATGACCTGAAAACATCCTTGGATCTAATGTGATTAAAAAACTGAGTTTTGCATTTGTGTGTGAGACACGCATACATATTTACTCGGCTGTCTAAATGAGAACATTCCACTGGCTTTTATCCTTTATTTGATTGTTTTTACATAAATACTATTTTTTTTTTTTTTTTTTTTTTGCATTTTAAAGAATTTATGAACTTTTTTTTCCACTTTTTGAAGCTTTGTCACATTCAGTTCACTTCTGGGGACAATGCTGTCCCCAAAGTACAGCTAAGTAAACCTACACACATGCACAACCACGGAATTATATCCATATTAGACTTCCCAATCACATCTAATGTGAGCTGACGGTAACTGTTACATAACCCTAATATTAATAATAAATTAAGGTGTCTTTTAGACTCTTTATTCATCTTTTTCATGTGGTGATGCCTCTTAAAGAAGGCTTTGCAACTGACATTTAATGTCCCTTTTTTAAAAGTCTCCCATATATACAGTCAAACCAAAAATTATTCAGACATCAGATATAATTTTTGATATTTTTTTTACTAGTGGGTGCAGGACACTATAGTTCATTTATGTAAGTGAGTATAGCAAAATAAAGTATACCATGACATATTATACCCAAAAATTCTTCATACAGTGGACTACCAGTAAAACTGATCAAAATTTGGGTGTTTTTTCTTTAATTGCTAATCCGACCTTTTTACACCACAGACTGAACAAAAGAGACATTATCAAGATGAATTTGTTCTGACACAGTTTAACTCTGAGTTCTTGTCATATTTTATTACCATTTTCTAAACTATAGCGAATAAACTGTGATAATGTGAGAAATGTTGAAGGTGTCTGAATAAATTACATATATAAACTGTAATTCATTTAATTTCCACACCTTTTGAATAGATTTCCAGGTAATAAGTGTCATTATTTTTTTCATTGATTTTCCAGTCATTCATGATTGTTGGATGAGGATTTTTTTTGTTTTTTATGACAGCAAATATACTCGCAGAGAACAGTTTCTTGTCAAGAATTTTAAACAAAAATATCCCGATATTTCCAAGTTGCCTATGACTGGGCACTCTCAGAAAAAAGATACAAAAGCTTAAAGGTACATCTTTGCACCATGTTTACCCTTAAATGTTACATATAAGCACCTTAAAGATACATATTAGCTTTTCCTAAAGTGTACATATTAGTACCTTTTGAAAAGGTACCGCCCAGTGACAGTTTGGTACCTTTCTTTCTGAGAGTGTGGGAGTCCTGGCTCTAAAGAGTTCTCACCATGGCAGTCCTGGATTTGATGAACCAATCGAATCTGAATTGTGGAGCGTTCCGTACACACTGTCGAAGTTCTTCATAGACATATTCTTTATCAAAGCCCATCTTATGCAACATGCAAATCAGAAACCTGTCTTCCTCCTGCAGGCACACACACACACACACAAAAAAGAAAAGTTTCCATATTTTAGGTTCTTCGTAAACACACTACACACAAACGAACTCTCTCATATGCACCCACCTCTGTGTAGTTCTTTCCTTTGTTTGTGCCGTACTGTATGCGGAGCTGGTGGAACGGAGCCTTGTACCGCGCTATCTACAAGTACACCAAACACACGTCATCAAACAAGTAATATTTACTAATTATTATTGCATCAAAAATGTAATTTTCTCTGAAAGTTTCTTGCTTCGTGTGATAAGGCTATGACTTTATTGCCTAATACTGAGGTTGCAAATCATCAAAAGCAAGGAATACTAAAGCTACCACACAATCGTAATTCAGCAGCCATTAAAGAAAAACTGGCTTGTCAAATTTTTGAAAGGTTGACCTTGGTGTCCAAGGCTTTTTTGATGCTGATGCGTCTCTGGATGCGAGCTTCTCCTCGCTCTATCTGAGCCATGATCTTCTCAATATCCTGCAGCTCATTACAGCGTTCCCAAAACACCGCTATTATAACGACAAACAATGTGTAAGGCGTGTGTAGTTATTACAGCAGTGAAATATTTTTTTTGAGTGGTGTGAGGTAGTTACTTGAGTATTTTATGCATGTTTATATATGTGTGTAGTCAATACAGCTGTAAAGAGTACAATAGGGATGAGTCACGATGGTCTACTACGTGCCCAAAAATAGACTAGTCGATTAGCAAAGTTGCTTAATTTTGTCCACGATTTTTCCTTAAATATTTTTATTTTGTTATTTTTTTTCTTAAATGCTTTAATTAGCAGTTTGCACTAAAATCAACTTTTCAAGTATTAAAATTCAAGTACTGAAATTAATAAGATGACAGCAATTTTATTCTAATAATATTAAATGTATTGTTAATTATTGCTATCATCATGTCTCATCTTACCATGTTTAATATTTTAATATATTCTTCTTGTTTTAACTTTTTTTTTTTTTTGATCTGGTCCCAAGAACCCAAAACAAGCCAAATTATACAGGGTTCCATAAGAACATTTAGTTCCAGCAACTCACCAACTAGTGGACATTCCTAGTGTGTTATTTCTATAGATGTTAGGCTTGTGTTTAGTTGCACTGGTGTGTACTGTACCGGAGTATTCCATGACTTCCTCAGGCGTCTTGCCCTCCACCTCTCTGGCAATGTTGTCAATGTCATCACGACCATACTTCTCATTAGCTTTAATAAACTGATTGAAATCACGCTTGTTCCAGTTTGTGAAACCCTGGGGAAAAAAACTTTCTGCTGTAGCTCTGCTCTGTACTTTGCACATTTACAAGTGTGTATGAATGTGTAAGTGAGTGGCAGAGAGGATGATTATGTGTTACTTGTGTGAGTAGTTTCTCTTTTTCCTCTGTCTCTTCAGGTGTGAGGGGTTCGGCCTCGTCTATCTTAGCTTGTTCCTCTTTTTGGACCTGTGCTGAATTTGGGATATCTGGATTACGTGGAACCTACAATAAACACACGTACACAGTCACACACCGCTTTAGATCAGATGCTTCATCAGCAAAAACTTGAGCAGACTGCACAGGAATATTCAATACAATCATGA